CACATCCATATGATGGACATGAAGGTCCTTTATCGTTGCTATTGCCAGTAGTAATCTCAACGACTCATACCGCGCCACCGGTGAGAATATCTCATTATAATCAACACCGTGGGTTTGTGTGTTTCCCCTAACAACCAATCTTGCCTTAAATCTATCAACTGTTCCATCTGGGTTATACTTCACGTCAAATACCCAGTGACAACCTAGTATTTTCCTTCCTTTTGGCAATGGTACTATTTCCCAAGTACTATTTGCAACCAGTGCCTGAAATTCAGCTTGCAGCGCAGTCTCCCACTGCTGAGCGTGTGGTCCCCGTCTCGCTTCTTTTATTGATCGTGGAATCGGTATCACCTTTGTGCTAATTGTGACAGCATTGATTGATACTAAATAGTCCTTTAAACGAGAATTTGGTGTCCTTTTCCTACGACTGCGAGGTATAGGTGGCACAGAAACTCGCTGTTTCTTTACTCCCACTGTTTCAGTATCCGGTGCACATTCTTCGAGCTCAGAATTAGATTTTAGTCGCTTGTTAGACACATCCAGCCCCGTTTCTCGTTTTCTTTTCCCCTTTTCCCCAACTTCTAGGACCATTTCCCCATTCTCCTCAATTTTCCCGGACGGAAACGATCGTTAAATCAGTCCCTCAGTAAATGTTGGCCCAAATTTTACATCTCGAGCGTTAATGTACCTATTTCCTTTAATATCGAGTAGACGATACCCTTTGTAATCTTCAGAAAGCCCAAGAAGTTTGCGCTCTAGCGCCCGCTCACTAAGCTTCGGATTGGGTCGTTTAGATTTTGGTACATGGGCGTAGCACGTACTGCCCCATATGTGAAGCTCAATTCCTGTTGGTTTGGTACCAAACAGCGCTTCGTATGGACTTTTACCCTTAAGCCGGGCTGTTGGTATCCTATTAGTTATTGCTGTCATATATCTTAATGCCTCTGGCCACCATTTAGCAGCCATACCCGATCCTATTAACGCGCATCTAACTTTACCCATTATTGTCTGGTGAGCTCGCTCAGCAGACCCATTTTCCTCTTGAGACTCCACATTTGACTTTTGGAACATGATCCCACTTTTATCGCAGTAACCCTTTTAAGAATTCGTTGACAAATTCTGTACCGCCGTCGGTCCTTATCCGTTTTACCTTGTATGGGAATTGTTTCTCCAGCTGCTTAATTTGGGTTTTAACAATAACCCCAACCTCTTTCAGAGACTTCAGAGCAAAATACCATTTATAAGCAGTGGCATCATCTACTATTGCTAGAGCATACTTGTGCCCGGTAGTATTATAGAGGCCCTGTGGTCTTATTTTTCCCAATGAGTCCATATGCAATGTGTGCAAAGGCTCAGATACCTTATCTGTCACCTTATTCCTATAAGACATTCGCCGTGATTTTGCCAGCACACATGTACGACAGAAAGATGATACCAGTTCCATTTTCTTTCTAGATAACTGGGGTGCATCTCTGATTACTCTGCCAGCCAGAATGTTCATCAGTCTGCCTTTACCAACATGACCTAGCCTCAGGTGCCACTCCTTCAACGTCTTTTGTATTTTCGATTGAGAAGTACTATCGACGGATAGTACTCTTGAATTAATTTCCAGTTTCCTACTCGGTATATAGTATACCTCATCTATTGCAACTGCAGCAAATATGAATCGGTTTTTACTATCAAGGAGTACAAATACTGCCCACCTTTTGACTGAATGTGGTGATACCCTTGTGTGGCAAGATAATATGCACTAAGCAAGTTACTACCGCACTCTTTATCAAAGGCAACATTTTGTATTGAGATATCACTATAGTACCCTCTGGATTTGAGAATACTAAATCTCACTGTCCCTTGGAGCTTGGTTGACGAGGTGCCTCCGTTTCCATATTCAAAGATATGAGTCCGTCCTTTGCCAAGCTGGCTGAACCACCTTCTATCCGAACTTATAGCGTGTCCAGCTCCTGTATCATCCACCCATAGATTATCAGCCTGATTCAACTCCCTCAATTTAGAAAGATACTCAGGGTATCTTCTCCGTACCTCATCATCAATCTCCATTGAGTGCATCGGTGCCTCATCTTCGCTTCCTTCACTCGCTGGAACACTCCCCTTGTACTCAAGTTCGTCAGCATCCTCAATTGCCTTGTTTAAATTGAGGTCGAACTTGGCAGCTTGAGCTGGGGTCCTTTCTTCGTCTTGGTTCACCTTCACCCTCTTGGTAGTCGACTTGCCCCCCTTCTTGACCGTCATCGCTCGCTTTGTTTCGGTGACAGGAGCCGCCCGTATGTTTGAACGAAGCAGCTTGCCTCCAGCCCTTTTCGGGCTGCGGTCAGCCGCTAACACTGGGCAGGCCTTCTTTCAGTGGCCATCTTCAAAGCAGTAATAACACTCGCTTACTGCCACTTCAGAGATCGTCCTTGGTTCCTTTTCTTCCCCGTAAACTTTTTTGCCGCATTGACAGTCACTGGGCGTCTCTTATCAGTCAGCATCGTGGCTTCCTTCCTCGATCGATCACCGAAAACGCGGCGAAGACTCGTCTCCACGTTTTCAATAGAAAACCACTCTTCAGTCATGATGATTGTGCCTCCCCAAAACTCGCTAGGTAGTAACGCCAACACTTCCATGCACAGCCAGGTCTCGGTCACCATGTCCTTGCCAACCAGACCCCTCATCTTCCTGTTAATGTCGTTACGCAGCATCTTTAACTGGGCGAATAGGGCCCCCAGATTGGTCCAGTTCGCTGCGAGAAGACGCTCCCACCGGCGGCGCAGCTCGATTACGCCTCCTGCATCCCCGAGCCCGTACTTTTGCTCGAGCTCCTTCCATATGTCACAGGGATTCATTCTGGACACTTGATCCGGCAGCCCACTCATGAAAACGTTAGGCAACGCTTGGTTGAATAAGTTCAACAGCTCGGACCGAGCCCTAGTCCAGTGTTGGTGGCGCCAACGCCTGGCCTTCGCCTCCTTTTGAGAAATATTTCCCTCCACCGAAATGATGGGTTTCTCAGGCGTACCCTCAAGGAAGTCCATCATGACAACCGTAGCCTCAAACTGGTCCTTTTCCAACAACCCTCGCTGGTATTTCTCATACAGCGTCTCTATGTGCGTTAGCACTTGTCTCGCCACATGGTGTAGTCCTCCCCATGGAAAGGCACTCCTATTGTGTCCTTTAACCATGAGCCTTAGTCTCCGTACGTATCTGAAATATTAAGCTCTATGTAATAGGCCGTCAGTTTCAAAGTGAGGAGGCCTTTTCAAGCGTACGCGCCACGCGTCCTCCTCGCCATTAACATCCCTCGGCAATGTGTTTACTTATTAAGTTTCCTTAAGAAGTAGGATGTTTGAACCTTTTCTATTGGCTACATATTTGACCAATTAAGGTGCATTCTAACATCCTCCGAGGTATGGCGTCTTGGCTACTGAAGCTCGTGCTGTGCTGAAGGCATGTCCTGCACTAATGTGCCTTTGGGTCGATGTCGACTGCATCCAACTCACAGATACATTATAAAAAACAAAATGTACGGAGATACATTCTGGGAGGCAGTGACGGAGTATTGCCCGCTGCTACGATCCGTTGGATGCGCTCTTAGAGACAAATCCAACCGCATCGATACTCTCACGTTAGACTGGTGTCGAAAAGAGAGCAGAACATATTTACATGGTACTACTACTGTAGTAGTAGAAACGAAATCGTAAGCGAAAACGAGGGCGACTCGGACGAAGAAGAACAAGTCTAAAGTGCTATCTTAACGGGATTCATCTTCTGGTATGATGTAGTAGACCTCTAGGCCGAACGAGAACGTCTCCATTACTTAAGTATCGCTTCTTCAATTGCTACTACTACTAGTAGTACATGTAGTACTACGTAGTAGTACAGTAGTACTACTACTACCTCCGCTCGGAAAAAGATAACCATTTGTTTTTTTTTGCGCAGCGCTCCGCCTCGTTCATTTGACCCTTTATTAATTTGTGAGAGGCTGGCTAGCTAGCTTTATGACCGAGAGCTGACAGTGAGAAACTAAGCAAGGCACAGGCGTTCATGCTCCGCCGTGCAACTACAGATACAAACACGGATCTAAGACGGCAACTATATCGCCACATTATGAAGGGGCGCTCAGTGGGGCTTCTAGAACTTCAGCGGTAGGCGGTGGGGGGGCTGCTCGCTGCAAAAAGCAGCATGTACGCGTTAGCATTGGCGAGTGAGATAGCGTCACAAGGCAGTGACTTAGGGAGAGTGCCAGCTCGTACTTGCTTGTCCTTGTGCCGGAGGCGCGCAAACTTGTGCGTGGGTGTAAGTAGTGGACGGGTCTGTCTGAGCGCACGCCGTATGTAGCCTTCCTAGATCAGCTGCTGAGCCAAATAGCAGACGCGCGCTGAAGCAGACGCTGGTTTTCGCGCTCATTGACAGGAACTGCAGCGATTCTCTCGCACAGCTCAGCTCGATTCACCTTCTTCCTACCACATGCGCTCTTCCTTGACTTGACCACGGCTGCTACTCGATCTCCCATCGAATTAATTCCACGCCTCCAAATTCGTTCGACAACTTGGCGGCCCACACGGAAGAACGCTGCAACACGAACGATCTCTCCATGTTTGAGCACTCCTCCCACGCTGCGAAGCAGTAAGGACTCCCAGACGGCCTGGCGCTCACTGTCTGTGATCTCCCCCAGGTGACAGCTTTCAAAGGAGCGGGAGCCAGTCTGGTCGGGAAAGCGCGGGAGATTCGAAATCCAAAAAGTGATCGGCATAGAGGGGGTATAGTTTTGGGTAGGCTGTAATATAATTTGAAATGGTTATCTTTTTCAGAACGGAGGTAGTATTTTGTTGGGAAGGCTGTAATATAATTTGAAATGGTTATCTTTTTCAGAACGGAGGTAGTATTACTACATAGTATGAGTATAAAAGGATTCTAAACTGGATTTAAAACCCATACATTGATTCATACGTAATCCACTATATGTTAACCCAAAACAAGAGAAGTGCTGGAAACTTGGTTTATCAATATTTCATCACTGTGGTCGTGACGTACTTCGCGTAATCTCCCCAAATTTCTTTCTCCCGACCATACCCATGAATTCTATTTCGATCAGCTTTCAGCACGTTCGTGAAAACCTCATCTGCTGTCTTGTACTTATCAACGAAGTACCACTTGTAGAACTGGGCCTTTTCTAACTTCTTTGCGACGTCGCGCGAGTTTCTGGACAGGTTCCCGACTAGGATCATCATCGCCACATTTTTCTCACCAAAGACATTTGTGAGTGCTTTAAGCATCTCGCCATAGGGATCATCTTTGTTGATCTTGACGGCGTGCTGGGACCAAATCTTGAAATTGCGACTTGACAGAAATTTTGCCACCATCTTGGGATCGACAGAGCCATCCTTGCCAATCCGCATTGTACCAAGTTTTAGCGTCTTGAAAGCACTCCCAAGGGCCTCGTCAGCCTTAAGCATTCCTTGCAGCTCCGTAGTTTTGGCTGACGTAACTTTTTTAAAGATTTTCTCCAGGCTTGAAAAATTTATCGAAATTGCCCTTTCCTCTTCTTCTTTTTGTTCTTCCTTGTCACTACTGTGGGCCCTTAGAAGCCTCTCAGTCGTGGCGTAGTCGACAACGCGAGTTGAATCGCTAGGGGCGGCCCTCATATTCAATTCCCTTGTAGCGGGGGCAGGAGCAAAAAATGCAAGCAGCAGGAGTAAGACCAAATTGACAGCGTAGAGGGACTTCATCATCAGGTTCGTAGGTGAGTTGTTGGCCACAAGACAATTGAGAAGTGATAAGTGAACGGGTTCTACCGGAAACCTTCCACCGGTCCACCCCGTTCGTACGGGTATCCCAGCTCTTAAGCTACACAGACAGGGACGGTGAAAAAAAAGCTACCGCTCTCTAAACTAGTTCAACGCTGGATAGACCTTGCGCATGTAAGTATCGCTCGGGTGTGGGGGACGAAGCGATTGATTGGTCACACCATCCGTCTAAGTGCGTCAACAACCAAGATGGACGATGCAACCGCTATCGGTATTGTGGTTTTTATCAATTATGCCGCTAAATAAAACGAACAGAAGCTAAGGGTAATCGGATGGGAGGCGAAAATCACAGACCCCTAAGGCCGTGTTCGATTTAAGCTAAAACCAGCTGTAATTGGTATTATAGAGCTGGAATGTCTCAACCAGCTTTATTCCGCTAAGAAACACAAAAAATGACATACAGCAGGATAGCTCCAAACGACTGGTTTCAAAATTAAGCTTTGGGTTGAATTTTGAATCGTCCTGCTTTGCGCCTTCGAATCCAGTCTTTTTCTGATGGAACACGATCACTTATTTTATCTTTATTTTTCTTAACAAAACGACTGTTCTACAGCTCTAGCTTATTTTCGAACAAGCTGGATTTGCCCCTGCAAGCTGAACACGGCCTAAATTTATTCACAGATCGCCCATATTGAACTTAAGCTGTTTGCAAATGTTTAATCAACTCGATATTTTTCCAAATACAGGCACAGGCGGGTTTCCTGTTACAGCTAAATCTACAGTACCGAAACTGAGGTAGAGAAGTCCCCCTGAATAAGAGTAGCATCTACTTAATATACCCCTTTATATCGGATCATTTGGATCGGGGTACTTTTGACAAGAGCACAAGATCGCTGTGGATTCCCTATGCAAATTAATCCGACGACCTTTACGCTTACTGAAAAGGACTTCTGTGTCACCATAATACTTCAAAGTATTAGTCGTGGCGTTGATATCTACTTGACTGAACAAAGTTCCGGGTGTATTTTGTACAAAAGGGAAATTTACATCATCACTTATGCACGCCAGTTTCACAGGAAACTATATCTTAGCTTAATGTGTAAGGCTCGAAGAATAAACATTTACAGTAGTTAAGAGATAGCAGGATTAGCTTCGAAAAATTCTGAAAATAAAAAAAACTGAGAACCTTATCACTGATCGCATTAAAAGATCAATGCGTACGTCGTATGAGTAGAAAACAGGCTACGATTTTGGGTAGCATCAGAGTGTGAATTCACAGCAGGTCTCATTTACGGTAATATCTCCCATGGTCGCTATGTTGTAACCGTATATACAGTGCATTGTACTGTACACTAAAGGTAAAACATATGGATTGTAAGTGCTACTACGATATTAATAGCCTCCTCCACAAGAGCCCCCCCCCGCCCGTGGAGTAGTATTCAAAGCCACTCACTTTGAAATTTGCTCTCCACCTCTCAGGCTGCGATATACACATGCGTCTTCCTTACGTGTTCGCAGCCACGGTGGCAACTCTCTTCATTTCTAGCAGCGCGCTCGTGAACTCAAACCAAGCGATGCTCCCTTCACCAAATGAGCAGCACTAACGTCGATTGCGGTCTCACCATACCCCTGTGGAGGATCAGGAACCTGATTAGGAGAGGTCTCTATCTATTACCGAGATGAGGCAGTCTTTTAAAGCGGGATATTCTGTGGACGATTTTGCTAAGTACTTGGGCATTGCTGACGATGTTGTAGGTGCTCGAACCTCGAGTACCGTTCTCCAGCAGCTCATGCGAACGGACGAGTACATGAAGTACGCTACGTATCTCAACTTTGTGTCACAACAAAACAAGAAGAAGAGGCCACCTCTTATCTACGGATCATAAGCAGAGCAAATTCTGTCGAGTTCATGAAGAACAAGCTAGATGTGAGCTCGTGTCGATCTTAAGTTCGTAACGCAAAAAAGAATTAAAAGGCAATGATGCGACCATTTTGTTGATTTCACTGATACTCACATTAGCGTTAATGTCCTCGACTTATATTAACTCGCGCGAGTTGAACTGATTGCCCTCACCTCAAATTAACTCTCGCGAGTTAATCTGAATCTCATTAATCCACATTAGCTGTTAGCTATTAATTTTTCTTAAGTTTGCTTGCTACACTGAGCTTAAAATGTGGCTTAGATAGCCACTTCGTGGAAAAGTGCCGCAGATGCTTCTTTCGCATTTATTTCAAACACAGCCATTCCCTGCTCAAAGAGAAGTTAGGCGTGCGTTTTCGAAGCAGTAGCAGTGTACTCTTGCGGTTTGCCATGCATCTGTGTGAGACGATGCCGCACTGGGAAGAGGGGGTGTAGATATTGAATGAAGCCATGCGGAGCAAGCAGTATTATATCTAGCATATACTGTTTTGATATCTTATTGTGCTTCCCGAAATCGCATTTTTTTTTGTGGCGCGTATTTGTCCGATTTATGGTACATTTGGGACAGAAACTTACTCGACGTTGCTGGCACAACGGAGAAAAATAGCTGACACAAACACAAAATCAGTTTCTTGTTATATTATGTCGCCTTGCCTTGTAGCGATATGGCTTTGCACCAGTTTTTGAGACGAATTGTCATCGGCGGCATTCGTGCCTCAGTTTCCAGATATCGAAACGGGTAGCAATACGCCGTAACTGAGGCAACAGTTCCTTTGGAAAACCCTTTTTTTCTTTTCCATTAATTTTTCCAAGGCGACACGAATCTCATCACTCAGCTTCACATTCGTACCGATCTCGGGTTCATTCATATCATAAAATTCATCGTCTTTGCTACCTTGGACAGCATTGGCCACTAGCAAATCGAGCTGCTCGTTCACGTCAATGCCAAGCATGGTCAGCACGTCGTTACCCAGCAAGACCTTGGTCGCGTCACCAGGAATGATAAGGCACTCAACTGGCTCGGTGATTCGAACGCTACCAACCACTGTCCGTAGTTTAAACTACGAGTTCACAGTCATTTTAACTTCAATAAGGTCTCCAGCAGCTCCTTTGCAAGTGAACGGCACTTCAAGTTTCACCATTTGAGCTTCAGGACAAACTCGCACAAAATCTTCATATACCGGTACGTTCATGCTCATTCCGGACCTGTCCACACCACTGTCCACACAGAAAGGCACCGTATAGGCGTCTTCCAACACGACCGAGCGGGTCTGTGTTGGCAGGCATTCAGCTAATCGTCGGAGGCGAGCGGTGCCTCCCCGCGGGAAGCATCCCACCTTTCTTGTCCCGTTGAGCCGCAATGTGATCTCGGTCGTCTTGGGTAGCGGTGGGGCATGTACTCAAATAGTGCGCACCACTGCATCCTTTCTGTGGGACTCCTTTCTTGGATGTTTGACCATTTCTTCCAACAACAGTTTAAACCTCCCGCGAGGTGAATTTCTTCGGCTGCTTTTCGGATTGGTGTTGCTGGCCCTTAAATGAACGCTTCTTGCTCTGAAAGTCTCGGTGCTGCTCACTCGGCACCGGCTTGCGCTTTGCACCTTCGATCCTCTTCAAGGCACGGTCCCCGATGACTTGCTCGAGAGCCTGCTGGTTGATAAGTTTCGATAGTCGTAATACACTGGTGCTTGCCTCTGGGCAACGATTATAGATCTCGTTCTTCACTTTCACTTTCAGATCTTCCGGCAACGAATTAACCAAAAGCTTATATTTCTTCTTAGCTCCCTTGTCACCATCGAAAAAACTAGTAAAACCATACTTGTTGATCAACGAGTTGCACGAGAGAAATAATCAATCACGCGAGACTGGATGTCGGAGTTAGTCATGTTCATTTTCAGTCAACGGCGAAAAGTTCATTGACAGGGGGCAAAACTTGGTTCTGATAGCTGTCCGTGATTGCGTGAATCTGCTCTAGCAGAATTTCATCGGTAAGACTGCTCTTGGAAACACCCCAATTCGCCTCGCACAGCGTAGTCAGCAAATCGACATCGAACGAGCTTTTAACACTTCGCAGCACTGCATCAAAGTCCTCCTTCCCATCCTTGCATCGCTCTTTCATAGCCTCTTCGTACTCCTTACGGAGCTTTAGCCACTCTATCCGGGCATCTCTCGACGTAGACGTTACCTTTGAAGCAGAAACGGTGGCGAAAATTGGCTGCGGAACTCTGGTCGTGCATGACGTGGTCGTCGCTTCCGTTTAAATAATAGCTTTAACGGTATGCGCTCTCTCCGTGCTGCGATTCTCCCTTGCATCGTCACCTTGGCTTCTAATATCACTGGTCATGTTCATCTTAGCTCAGTCGCGAGACCTTCGCAACTAAAGAATTCTTTGTAGTGGGTCTAGTGATAAAACACACTACGAGGGAAGCTGGCGCTTCCTAACAAACCCAAAGTCTATTGAGTTGTTCTGGGTAAAATCCCTAATGCATTGCTTCATCAATCACAGTCTGTCGGCCTGATGGTGGTTTCCTAACTCCTGGGACAGCCTGTCGTCCCAGGCGTCCCTAACCTCTAGCTGCCCTGCGATTGGATGGAGGCTTGCCAACGAGAAACCCCCACTTAAGGTGTGCCCTTCAAAGAGAACATTTTTTGGTAGCAAAAACGTTGGTGAATCGTGGTGCGTACAGCGGTGTAACCTGGCGGTTAGCCAAGGATAAGATGTTCGTGTCGACCCCGTGGACGCGAGACCCAGCTCATAATATCGAGAATAAGAACGATCACAGGAAACGTCAAGCACTTTGTAGAGACTCCAGTATGTGGGACACTGACTGACACGGACCCAGTAGATGCACGACGAGATTTATCAAGGCCCCACGAGGCTGCGCTACAAGCTGCGTGCAGGTTTCAAAACCAGCGACGGCTTCATGGTTCTGAAGGGCAAATGTGATGTCTGGGTAATCTCACGAGTTTCATCTGAGCTAAACCTTATACTGTACCGTACAAGATGAACCTAGAGGATGGCCGACTGGGCTACCTAGGATACATTAGAATACAAAAACCAGGG